GCCTGTAAACCAGAGCACCAACAAAGAGAACTATGGTGATTTGGATGCAGGATAACGAACATTTCGCTTCGCCTTGCATGGCACTGCTATTGAGTACCCTCGCTAAGTAACGTTTGGGGAGCCATATGAGGACCATCAACACCAGTGCAGAAGCGGAGATGACCAGAGATGCATTAGATGTACTAGGCTCCTCGTGTTTAACCAAGCCAAAAACCGCGGTAGCCTCAGTTCCCAAAGCAAGGGCGACGAGGAGATAGGCGATAACGGTTGTTGCAATTCGTTCGAACCTTGGTCACTCCTAGTTAGCACTCCCCGTATGATATTCACAGCGCAATGCTGCTCACCTCAAATCTCTCGCTGAAAGAACGGCCTGTCTCTCTTCGCCTGGCTTTGCAACGCGCCAAAAGCGCCAAACGACCATCGTAGCTGACACAACTTCTATTCCAGACTGTATTCCAAAAAACACGAGCGAGCGAGACGATGATTCGGCGCCGAGTCCAATTGAGACACCACCCTCAGCTCCATTGTAGATAATACTGATGACGCTTATCGCGAGAGCATATTGCTGTAATCTTCGATAAGTGGGCATTTTTCGTTGTGGTTGTACTTGGATTGAATCTAATCCGGAATGAATATCAATTTTTTTTTATTTTATAGAGACGGTCTTGAATGAGTTAATCTCTTCTCACACGTGCTTAGCTGGGATTGATTCAACTGCTGACAAAAAAAAAGTTCACCTGGGTTCAGTCGATAACGGACCATAAGCATCGTGGAGACGAGTCTTCCTCAAGCCTCATGGAGACCTCATTCCCCCAACAAAATATGGAGGGTATGAATTATATCTGACAGAAAAAGGGTGCTTCAGATCAACTCATGAGAGAAAATTGAAAATTGACAAAGAATTCACCGCAGAATGGCCGGTTCTTCGAAATTTCCTGTCAAGTGACAGTAATTAGATGGAATCGGAGGTCTTCAATCTCGGTATCATTGAAAGGAAGCTCAGAGGAAGTTCACAAGCTATAACGGCGAAGTACTAATTCACACCAGACGCGTGGCCAATTAGGGACGATTCCCACGAGGCGCACATCACGTGCTAATGATTTCGCTGCCAGATTGATCGCGACAAGGATTTGAAAATTCATCCCTCTTCAGCTCGGACTCCCATCAAGTATTCCTTGACTCAGATAATCCATCTCCCGCAGACCTTCTCCAGCCACCGAAAGTGAAGAGCAGGTCTGATCCTTACTACGCCCTTCGAATCCCTTTCACGACATGCGGGAACGGCTAAAAGACAGCATGTCTATTCCACCAATGGCTTTTGATGCAAAACATACTACTTTAGGAACCCGGAGCCTTGAGCTCTCTAGCCTAGGCCTTTTGCTGATCTTGCCGACGGTAGAGTTCCATAACATATCATGCACCCCGTTGATGAACCTCGAAGAACCATATAATAGGCCGGGAGTTTTAGACAGCTTGAAGCCAGGAGTGTTTTGACAAGAATCAAGACAAGAACTTACTAGTGCGTGTCCACAATCTTTTCACTCTCCCAGTGGACTTCGATCTCAAGTGGATTCGGTGGTACCAGTGAATCCTCTATGCCCCACCAGTATTGAGCGCTGGCATGAAAACAGAAAACTCTAGCACATTAGTCCTTCTGTACTCAAACCGTAACGCCCTATTCTTGTTCTAGATTTTTTCTTGGTTCAAGCGTTCGACGCTCGATATCTGATAAAGGCGGCTACGAGTCGGAAACAACATCTGAAACCAGGAGAACACGGGGTCGGGGCTACTTACGAGCTGTGCCAGAGGCACCAAGAAAACGGTAGCACGGTAGAGCAATGATACTTTGCATGTGCTCGAGGTAGATCCGAGCCCCACTCGTAGGACGAAAAAAGAGGGATTCCCAGACAAAGTTGATAAGACACAGCGTCGCCGAAATAATCAGTTAACATTATTTCTGCATAGAGCGTGTCGTATGGAGAAAGGACGAGCACAGTACCGGGATCCAAGGTGGCCTCGCAGGTCCAACAGAAGACTTGATATTCCGAGGCGGTCGTCTTTGGAGATCTCACGCACGAAGAAATCAGCCTCCAGCGTCCACAAGGAGTGGCAAATCTTGGAAGTACTAATACTCAGAGGAACCCTCTTCGGGTGCGTGACGGTTTATTGTTCTCTAAGGGCGTTTGAATCCCTGTCGACAACGAACTGGTGCAGCGTTTCAAAGTCGATGGAGGTCCCGGCCAAATCCAAATCGTGATGTTATAGAGTGGGCGACCTGATCCCGAACGTCCAAAAAATGTTAATGTTCTTGTCATGTTGGCCTTCGATTTCTGGATGCGATGACATGGTCTCAGAGTCTAAGCTTGTTTATGGTTAAAGGTCTACGTCACAATCCGTATTTGCCCAGATGCGAGTCTCCTTTCGCCGAGGAAGTTGCGGCTTCAATTTGCTTTGTTGTTTGCTTCCGCATTAAATGAGCTGTTCTTCCCTCACGCGTACTTGGTAAGTATTTAGTTGTTTGGCGCATACAAACTCGCCTGAAGGCTGAGATTCGTCAATAACGGTCCGCGTTAAAGTACATACTGGACATGTATTGGTTTAGAGTGATATCAGTCTCATGGAGGACTAATCCCAGAAAAAAAAATAAACACAAGTCTACGGAAAGGGTATGAATTATATCTGACAGGAAAAGGTCCGGATAGAAAATTTACCGAAAACTTATTCACCCGCGGAACGACCTGACCTTAGTTTGAATATCCTGTCAAGTGACAATTAGGTGGAGGATCAAAGGTTTGCAGTCTCGGTATTATTTGGTGTTCCTAGAAAAAGTACCTACCGATGAACTGGTACACAGGCTATTCCAAAGCAAGCTAATTGAGAGTCGGGACCTTGAGGGAAAGATGGAATGTTATGCAAGAGGGGATGGTCGGGGCAGATTTCTAGAGATAGTCAGATGAAACTCTGTAGTCATCCAACCTGAAGATGATAGAATATTTGTAAGCAGCCCCCTGGTGTCAGTGGGAGTTTGAAATTGATATTTCCTCGTGACTCAGATATCAATCTTATCTAGATCTGATAAGAACTCCAATCTTATCTAAACCAGCGGTCGCGACGGTCTCGCAACTTGCCAGCTGGACTCACAGGAGCTCGAGGCTCGCCGAGAGCCGTCGTTCTCAATGGCCAGCGCAATCTTAGAACACCAAAATATACTCTCAGCTTTTGCAGATGTCCTATATCCTATCCGTATCAACTCCACAAGAGGTTCCGGCCCTCAACGTGCAACTTGAATGTCATAAGGAACGAGGTTTCCATCAGGCTGGACAAGTAAGTACTCTATACTAGCGCTCAACCCAATCTCATGGGTTCTATTCTTGCGTCCATTGTGAGATGACTCAATTATGAAATGATTCCTCAGATCTGTTTGCCTCTGAATACATTCCTTTGGGACGAAGAGCCGATTTACGGGAAACACCGCTAGTATAAATATAAAAAGGATGACAACCGTCCATAAACGGCCCCTCTCATTTCGACCAAAATCCAACAAGCACGACCAGAAATGCCCACCTATCGAAGACTACAACAGTACGCCCTCGCGATAAGCGTCGTCAGTATCGTCTATTGTGCAGCTGAAGGCGCTGTCTCTATCGGACTCGGCGCGGAATCGTCCTCTCGTTCGTTAGTGTTTTTCGGAATACAGTCGGGTATCGAGGTCATGTCAGCTTCAATGGTGGTATGGCGCTTTTGGAACGTCGCTAAACCAGGTGAAGAGAGACAGGCCGTGCTTTCTCCCAGAGAACTGAGGTGAGTAGCTTCAACAATCTTGACGTTTTCTACTACAAAAAAAGTACTGAACCAAGGGCGTGTTTCACTGTTCGAAAAAAAGGTTCGAAAAAGTTTCTTCGACCGTCATTGCTGTTCTCCTCCTTGCTCTTTGTTTGGCTGCGGAAGGCACTGCAATATTTGGTCTGGTCGAACATGAGGAACCTAGCGCTTCGAATGCTTCTTTGATCGTCTCCGCGTCCGCATTAGTCTTTATGGTCGTGATATGGTTGCCTAAAGGTTACCTAGCTAGGAAACTCAACAGCAGTGCCATGCAAGGGGAAACTCAATGCTCGTTATCGTGCATTCAAATGACTGTGGTTCTTTTTGCTGGGGCGTTGATATACAGATTGTGGAAAGGAGGTTGGTGGGTTGATAGCGCGACGTCTATTGTGCTTGGATTGTTGTTTGGATGGGAGGGATACAAGATGCTGAGGTGGGCTCAAAGCCCGAATTTTGATGGAGGGTGCTGTTCAGGTCATAATCATTCCCATAAGGACTTGGAAGCTGCGAGACGTCAAACTGAGGAGCTTAGCGAACGTAAAAAGGACTTGTGCGAGTGCTGTTCTCAGTCTGAGGCGTGTAGGACTTCTGAAGACGGGTGCAAGTGTCCCCCTTCGGATACTTCGTCGACGGTAGTGAGTTCTTTTCTCAAGGTTTTCTCGCGGAGTTTGTGTTGACGGTTCGGGTCTTTTGAGACCTGTTGTACTCCGGTAGACGACGATGGGAAGAAATGTTGTAGTCGGGAGTATGTACCGATACAACCATCAGCTCAGGTTGGTAGATTTCAAGATCATCTTTGCGAATCATGATCGTGTTGACCTCTGTTTATCTATCTGCAGATCTGTTGTGCATCTGAGGTTTGTCTGTTTTCCATCTGTCGTTGCGCGCGTAGTTGACACCTGTTTTCTAGGCTTGCAATGCCGGGACAGAGAACCACAATACGAAGGACTCTTGCCACAGCCCGGTAACACCTTGATGGGGTTATTTTTTTTTTCGATATATATCCCTACAGATATGCGGAAGTATAGGTTGCAAACGACGGTAGGAGGCTTTGGAGGCCTTCCAATGTCGATTGTTTTGCTTCATATGCGTAGACTCCAATCATTGAGCTTCAATGGGAGAGCTCATCGAATGCTGTTACTAAGTCTAATCCAAATACAACGTACTTTCTGCTATATACACCGTTGGTGAAGTGGTTGTCATGCTTGCCTTCCATAGCTTGTAGGAGCAAGCGGCTCGGGTTCGATTCCCGAACGGTGTACTCCTTCCTGTACTAAGTCTTTTAATTTTTTTCTTTTCCCCCTGTCCCTCTCGTCCATCTGAGTGAGTATGCGTACAGAACAAACGAGACTAATTTCTTCTGTCTGTATAATCGCACGAATTCAGGGAATGCACAACGGATGTTAATTCAGCTAGAGGGGGTATAATGGGAAAAGTCCAGGGGCCACTCGTGTGTACTTACCGGATCCAGAAGAATATGGCCGTTGACTTTCAGGGAGCGAAGCAGGCAGAAATCCAAAAGAGGTCGACTTGGGGAAGATCATAAGACAAAGTATTCTCGAAGTATGTTCGGAAAGTGTTAGTTACAGTCCACGAACACCGGTTTATGCAAGACTCCTTAATAGTCCGATTCTTCCTCAGCAGTCCAACTCACAAGGGTGGAGCGCGAAATTTATTGCATTTATGGCTGACGAACTCATTATGGATTCTATCTCCGTCACGCAAGATACACGGACCACCTTCGTTCTGATACCTTCTGGTTCAAGTTTTCTCTGCAACAGAAGTCAGTGTTCCACGAGGAATCCTCTGTGTTTTTACTGGACGAATAGGCTTGAAGTCGCGATTTTTGTACTATCTTTGAACCACCTGAGGTGTGAATGTGTAGTTGAATCTTGATTGCACAACGACACACTTTGGCCCCAGTTTACTTTCAACTGTGGAGGCGTCAACTACCTGCAAAGAGAGAATCTGGAGCTGAGCGCTGAGATTTCATGGCAATCGAATAAGAGGCCCGTTGAGTAAGAATAGTGATGTCTTGTTGTACTAATATGCATGGGATTTGCGCATACAGACACCAGTCGAGATGGCAATTCACCTGGGAGCGACTTGCCTTATAAAGACAAGTGTTCTATTCGCCTGCGGCCAGTTTCTGACGACTTCGTTCAATCTGCCTCTATCTTCTTACCATCATCATCCATTGGAGTCTCGCTCGATTTCACTTGTCATCCGTACATAAGCCCGGAGAGCTTTACCTTAAATCTCAATTCCCCTCCAACACGGCAAGTGTACCGCCTCTCTAGGTGGAGTAACTTGGTTACAATTGCAACCCCACTCGAGGCGTGATATGACACACCATTGGGGCCACGTCTGGATATTAGGCTCGTGAATTACACGAGGAAGTCGGTGGTGAGTAGTATCACCTCTCTTTAACTCTTTTCATTTCTGACGCACACGTAAGGAAGCGTTCTTACTTCTCTCCTTTTACCACCATGTTGGGCTCGAGTCTCCTACTCGGAGCTCTACTTGCAGAATATATCCATCCTACTCAAGCCTCGTTGTTTACTCGATCATCAAATATCAATGTCAACGCGACAATTCTAGGCGGGTCGAAAGTAGCGATGGCTTGGTACGCGGGATGGCATTCGACGGACCTTCCTCTGTCGAGAGTTAGCTGGGAGAAGTACACTCACATGGCCTATGCGTTCGGGTGAGTAAACTTTTTTTTTTTGAATGGAACATGTGATCCTTGAACTTTGGAGTAGTGTTACGTCCCCCAAACCCACTGAGATTACACTCACCGATTCGGATGAAGAGCTGTTACCGCAGTTTGTACAAGCGGCCCATCAACACGCAAGTCTTACATTCGCCTTCGGAGATAACGCAATCATCTGATTCTTTCTTTACAGAACGTGAAAGCGACACTGTCTATCGGTGGATGGGCCGGTTCTCGGTATTTCTCGACCAATGTTGGTTCTCCTCAAAACCGATCAGCATTTGTCAAGACCCTCGTTGACGTCGTGCAGAAGTACGAACTCGACGGCTTGGACTTTGAGTGCGTATACCTTGACTTTCTTCGTTCTGATTCCTGCTCAATAAGTTTATTTCCTAGCTGGGAGTACCCGAACCGCCAGGGAATAGGGTGTAACACGATCAACAACAATGACACGGCTAACCTTCTTTCCTTCCTTCAAGAACTCCGGAACGACCCTGTTGGGGCTAAGATGGTCCTATCAACTGCTACCTCGATTCAGCCGTGGAATGACACTAACGGGACGCCCTCAACCGATTTGTCAGGCTTCGCAAAAGTCTTTGACTTCATAGCAATCATGAACTATAACATTTGGGGTCCATCGTCTGCATTTGCCGGTCCCAATGCGCCCTTAAATGACACATGCGCTGCTCAAAACAATCGAGTTGGATCCGCTGTCTCTGCTGTCAAAGCATGGTCTGGGGCAGGCATCCCGCTCGATAAGATCGTCTTGGGTGTACCTATGTTTGGCCAGTCGTTTGTCGTAAACAAGAATGATGCGTTTGAATCTGGTAGTTCGACGACCCTTGCGTTGTTCCCAAAGTTCGACGCGAAGGCTGAGCATGTTGGGGACAAATGGGACTCTGAAGGGGGTCCTGACATTTGTGGAAACGTTGTCGGTCCCTCGGGTACATATTCATTCAGCGGCCTCATGGACACGGGCTATCTGAACACCGATGGATCTGTCAAGGATGGTCTGCAGTTCCAGTTTGATAACTGTAGTCAAACGGTGGGCCCTACTTCCATCATTTATATGTCTATGGCCAACTTAATGTATTGTTCGACAGCCTTACGTGTACAACGAACAGACCCAAACTTTTATTTCGTATGACAACGCCGATTCATTTGCTGCGAAGGTGATTAGCCAACCCTCTGTTCGATCGTTCAACTTGTTACTGAGTTCCCCGTGAATAAAGGGCGATTTCATTAAATCCACCGGACTGAAAGGGTTCGCTATCTGGGAAGCTGCTGGGGACTATAACGACACCCTTTTGAATTCTATTCGTATGTACTTTCTTTAGCTTGTTTATAGCCGCCATCTACTTACTTCCTTTTTTCTTACAAGTTTATTCTACCGCAAACGGGAACCCGAATAAACCAAACGCTGGCAGCGGGACTCCAGAGTCGAGCACGCAGGGCAATTCAGCAAAGGATCTTCACCTGAACATCCTTACTCTATTTTTCTTGACGGCCGCTTTGGTTATTATACCTTGAGTCTGTTGGACGCGGACGTTGGTGGGACATTAGATGTACTCGAGAACATTACCGCTGATCCTTGTTTAGACTTTACTGTACGCAAGCCCTGTATTTTGCTTTGTTCCATGTTTATACATTCCCTGGACCTTCCGTTCAACTGTGGATGTTATGTTCTGACCTGCCTTGGATCTCGAATTAGTTTCTTTTCTTTTTTTAGGGCTCGTGTGAAACGCGAGGACTACACGCGCAGTACAAGCCGTGGTCGTAGTGTAGTAACGAAGGGGAAAATGGGTCAGTTTTATAGGCTATTTCAGGTTGCAACATCGTGTTGTAAGAACCCGATGATCTATTCATTCCATGGCAGGTTCATGGCAGCAACTATGAGTCTATTCGAAGAGATGTAGACAATCAGTATGCATCACAGTATGAAAGAGCACCACCTCCCGTCCTTTGTTATATATTTACCACAACGATTCGAACCATTCTGGGAACATGAACAACGTTCACGATGAGGTTTGGTTCGAAATTTCGAGAGGTGACAAATCCAAGGTACATAGGTTTCTGTGGTCAGCTGGTAAAACAGTAAAATTAAACGAGGTCTCGAACTTGGCGGCATTAATGATCTTTTTCGCCGTTCCTTTTTTTTGATTGCAATTACCATCGGTTCCGATTGACATAAGTGATGACGGAAACCATTGAATGCCTGTTAGAGAAAGGTCGCCAAGCTTAGAGAAACATATACATATACATGATCCAATGAGGTTGGATGCCCTGGAGAACTTGAGATGGCAGAAATGGGCTTGAGAAAAAGATTCCTGGTCACATTTCTCAATAGGTGGAGGCATCTTCACAAGGGGGGTCTTTTTTTAGTGAATGGCGATAACGACCACTTAAGTACTTATGTTTGATGGATGATGCTCGACGGCGTTAGACTCTTCGGAGAAAGGACAACTATATGTTTTTTTTTCTCTCCAGCTTACTTTGGAAGCGGAGAATTCGCTTCCCCATCTAATGATCCATTCGGTATGTACAAATAACACAGATTGAATACATGGAAAGATTCCTCTGTCTAGATATCGAAGCCCAGTTTTGCAGGCAGCCCTCATGACCCTCCTCCCCCCCGGAAACCTCACCGTCAACATGCGGCTCCGGGGTCTCCTGGGACCTGAAAAAACGATATTTTTCTGGTCAAAGCACACGAGGACAACACGGGTTCGTTTCAAATTTAAAAAAGCGTGTTTTGCGAACACGCCACCGCAACCAAGGTGACTGCAGATAGTATGTCGAGCTGGTTTTTGTAGCCTCATGCCCACAATGAGGTCAACCCGTCCTTTTGCAGCAAAATACTCATCGAAAACATGTTTTTATCGTGATGCAGTAACCGAGGGAACCCTACTTTGGGTCATTGAATAAATAGAGTTTACGTCATCGCGTGCCTTTTTGGTCGTCGCGCGGGGTTCTCCTGGGCTGGGCTTTTTTTGACCGAAATTCGGTAAAAAAAAAAAGAGGAATTAACGTGCCAGCTGGGCCGCACTTCCTACACCTGCCCCCTACAGAAGAAAGTCCTAAAAACTGCCCCGAACCTCTCCGAAAGCCAGGTTGCCGACAGGTTCCTTGCCTCCTTTCAACTTTCCTGTTATAGAATGTCCTTTGTACTCTCTCCATTCCGACGGAAGTGATCCTTCGAAGGAAAAAATTGGCCGATTCTCGAGATTCCAGGGTTCCAGGTGTCGATTTGTTTTTTTGTTTTTTTTTGGAGAAATGCAGTGTGTCCCGTCGGTACATCTTAAAAATGGATGTCCGAACGGCTTTGAAATCCCTTCCTCCCATCAACTCACGAACCCGTTACGACCCATTTTAACTGAATTCCTCACCACCACCCCTCCCCCTTTCAAGTATCATTCCTTCTACCAACACATATATTCCTGTTTTCGTGAATGAATTCTCCCGTCCTCACAATCCCCTACCAAATGAAGTCACCTCAGTCCAAATCCCCATCACCACGGCGGGCGCAAGCATCGCCGCAGAAACACAGA